TTATATACTGCACCTGAGTGACTAATGAGAAACACTTTTCATTATACTATGCACCTGTGTAAGTTTAATGACAATAAAGTTGAATTGAATTGAATTGAATTGAATTGAAGTGGCACATTTCTGATGATAAATGGATCCCTTCCAAGACAGATCTATACAAGTAAATCAGTGGTTGAAAAGTGTAGTTGTTGAATGTTTTTCTCTTTGTATAATTCTGAGCAGACACAGAATTACTTTGGTGCATTTGAAAATTGTGCACTGTGAATTCTATCACACACACATTATCATTTCATAATTTCTGTAAGGAGTGGGGTGAATATAAAAATGAAAATGAATAATATTTCACAAAAATAATTTCCATATGGTTTCTTTTAGAAAGATGTGACAAAGTGTGATACATGAAGTGTGATACATGAAGCAAAAGAGAATAATTTCTTTGACCAGGGCACATTATTTTTTTGCTGTCAGAATAGTTGACGGTGGGAATATATTTAGAGGCTACTGACATGCTACAATTCCCAGGATCGTCATGAAATTCATCAGAAAGTGCCACACTGCCTCAAGGCCTTAATGAAAGCAGGCAGGAATACTGTTATAGAGTTTTAAAATGTGGTGAACACTGTAGCTCCCGGGACAGAAATATAATGTGAAAGGAGTATACTGTATTAATCTATTTCCACCAAAATGGAACGTTTCAGCTAATGAAGCTCAGCTTCACATTTTGCAAGTAGTAAGACATTTAAGAGGTGTTTCAAAGCTGGGCTATTGACAATAGAAGCAAATCCAAACTGATTTAACTGATAAGGAGTAAATTCTCTGTGTGGCAGATGAGGATCCAGTAAGGATTTTATTCGGGGCTCATACCACCTCATTTAAGACTTACTAGTGTGTTGCTCCTAAAAAGGCATCAAATCAGCACAGGAACTCTGGATTAAAAAATATAAGAATTCCTTAACAGCCCATAGAGGTAAAGCACGGGTTTAGGAGAGATTTGTTTATTGACAGTGAGTGTGAAATAAAAATAATGGCCTTATAATCTATACTTTATTAAAGGCTGCCTTCTTGTGGATTTGTAGGATGTAGACTTTGTTTAAACCCCAGTTTCACAGGTTCCTCGTGAAAAAGAGAAAGATGGGAAGATATTCAATTAGAAAAGTAAGATTTGGTGTGCAATTCTGTTGGGACATCTTCGTCACAAAACTTGCAGATTAAGCCCTACATGGTTGTAGGGGACCATTAATGCAAACACTAGCTGCTGGCTTGTTGTTGTCAAAGTTGTGACATTTTTTATATTTAATGTGTATGAGAGATTTGGAATTGCCCATATTTGTCATTTATGCACCTGTCCTACAGTATGTGTCCAATGTTCGGGACTCAGTTCACAGCTGTGACTCCTGTACCCCCAAGGAGAGAATGAGAAAAGGGCAGACATGCACCTCTGACAAGCCCACCTGCAATAGTCATTTTACATGCTGCTTCCACCACAGTGCCTGGTAGGAGAGTCACTGACGACTGGATAAGTAGTGCATCTTTTGCTGTTGTCACTGTAAACCTGCAAACCTCTCAATAAAGATTCTATTTTACTGGAAGACAGGGTTAGGGTTAGGGTGCACTGGCAGGCTAACAACCAGTTGTGATTGGGGAATCGTTGTTACACTCAGTATGTTAAGGTACATGACTCAGAGCTGAACCAGTGATGTTTCTTGATTAGATATTTAACATCATGCACTGCTAATTGTTCTCAGCTTAGCCTGTCTTCTTTTCCATCTGTAAATCAAACTGTCCATTTGTAAAATCCCTGTTGTGTTATGCCAAGCTGTTTGCTTACTTGCATTTAAGATCGTGGTGGATACATCCAATATTGATTTCTTCGGAGTATTTGATCTTAAAGCACCATATCACAGATCAGTTTTAATGGTTTCATGATGAAACGAGATCAAAGCAAACACTTGGATGATAAAGCAAACTTTGCCCTGTGTAAGCTTTCTTTTAAACAATGGGGTTGTGTTTCTGGAGTGTGTCAACATTTTACACTTAAAAATTCCTTATGAATTTACAATTTACAAATGGATGAGTCTAATGCATTTGAGAACCGTTTAGATTGGGAGAGTAATGCCTGGTATTTTAGGAGTATTAAAAGCTGGTATGATAATTGCTTTATTCAGCTTGTGACAGAAACTGAAATGTAATCATGATGAGATTACAAGAGACAGGTTACATAAAGTATCAACGTTGACAAAAGAAGCATAGGCCTTTAAATCATTTTAAGCTGTTCTTTGTGGTTTGTCCATATTTAAACTGCCAAAAATATAAGCCTTATGTCTATACTGTATGTGGCTAAGACATACCTTTCGTTAGAGTTATATAAAACTCTTTCTGACGTTCAAGGACGACATCCTTTATTGTAGCTGTCAGTTTGTAGACTCCAGTCATCTCACTGGTCACATTTTCAATTTGTAGAATACGGGAACGTGAGACAGTCATATTGTCCTTTTGTGTAGAAGGATAAAAAGTTAAACATTACTAGTTAGAATTCAATTTGTATTTAAAGCTTTAGTAGACTTTTTGCAGTTTATTATGAAGCCCAACTGTACGTGTATTGTGCAAATATCTCAGACATTGTATCAGACACAATCAAGATCCCTTTCAAATCAACCCATTTTCTTTTGTAATTGCTTTCCAAAATGTTCGAGCAATTGTTTTTCTCTTGGACGTTATATGTTACAATATTAAAAAAAGGTAAAGTACTTTCTGATTTAATATGTCTTAACATTATGCTGTTAGGCTACAAAATGTGTTACTTTGGAAAGGGTGTATACATTTTCTATAGATGTGGACTATTCTTCTAATCAAGCCCTATATATATACATATGTACTGTATATAAATATTTCCACACACAGAATCCAGACTTAGGGTTTTGTCTATAATAATTTCCCCCGTCACATGTGTTCGTTCTGTTCTTGGAATTTTCAGTTAGTTTTCAATGTCCCCTATTAGTATCTTAATACTAATTAAGAATAGCTTTGAGAAACAGTTTCCCTGAGATGTTCCTGTTTTCAAGCCAAATGCAAGACAGTAATGTGCTTTGAGCCACTTCACAAAGAAACTGTAAGCGGCACAAACCTCAGAAGTTATTCCAGCAACTGTAATGTCATAGACATTATTGCTGAAACCCTGTGCTAAGACAGTTGCACTGGCATTGCCCAAAAAATAAAATCCAGCTCATCAAGTTTGTTATATACAGTACAGCTTAAACAGCTGCTTTTGAGACTGTCCAGGGTTTTATATTTTCATCTTCATACACACAGCAGTACAATATTATGCTGTACTGTCATTACCCTACCTTTTTCCAAATGTATTCAGGAGGCTGAGAAGCTTCTGAATGACAGTCAATCTTTAGATTTGTACCTAGATCAGCTTCTATTGGACTCTGAATATCACATTCAATTTTATCCAGATCTGTTAAAGAAGATAAAGTTAAAGAGCAACATATCAGCTTTTCAAAGTATTAATCTTGGAATTTCTGAGACCCTTTATATTTTGTCATTTTACAATGTAAAAAAGAAATGGAACACTCAGATCTAGTAAATATAATTAACATTTTAAACATAGGTATCTATCTTATGTTAAGTTATGGAAAATGTGAATGGAATATATATTGGAAAATCATGATACTCTTTCAGGATGAAACATGGCACATTGTCAGAACAAGAACATGACATCAGATATGACCTCCCTCAGAATGAACACAATACTCAAAGTACTGATGCATAGACCTGATCAGCCTATAGTCAGACTGCTGTAGGATGATATACAGTACTTCCTGTCCAACTTCAGACAATCAGGGAAGACCAGTTATGACACTGCTGAGACATTCCCACTGATGTTCTGTTGGACTCTGGCCGGAGTTACAGAGTAAAAAGAATGGGTGTTGGGCACCAGTTGTCGAGGACAGTATGGATGTTAGTTGCATTGTTGGGCCAGTGACACTTTATTGTTGATTTAGCTTTATGCTCTATCCTCTGCATTTCCTGCCCTTATCAAAAGTCCTCTTAATACAGATGCTGGGCAATTAGCACACCTAAGGAAGAACAGGGTGCAATTAATCAATGCATCAGTACACCTGCCTATCTTTAGATAGCCTTTTCCTTTGTCTAGAAGGCCTACAAACCACCAGTCAAGACAGAACTGGGACCTATGGAAGAAGGAAGCTTTGCTCCTTGTAGTTTTGCTACAAGGCACAGATTGTAGTAGTTGGACCCTGGAGAGGGCGGAGACAAACATGGTAGAGGAGGGGAACACCAGGGACACATAGTTCATGACAGTCGGAACCAGACAAGATGCTTATGAACTACAAAAGAGCTACACAGAGAACAGAACTACAGGACTAAATGAACTTGGGACATTTACTGGGTAACTGGGGTCCAATGGGGTGCTTATGGCCAGACTGGAATGTGTGTTTTGGATTTGGGTTTTGTATAATGTGCCCTGGGTGTTGGGTAGACATTATTAACTGTTGTATCCTTATTATACCATATTAATTCCTGTTGTTGATCTGTGTGTACTCTGGGGATTCTGGGAGATTAACGGTACCTGTGGCAAAGGGTAAAAGGTCTTAGCATCCTTTATAATTGCTACTGTAGGTAGTGTAGTCATGCATGAAGCAAGAATAATTATTGTTTGAGGGGCTACTTTACAGAGACACTGTGGCCAGGAAAAAAATCTACCCACAAAAAAATGAAACTATTTTTCTGTAGATGTGTTATTGTAATCCCAGGTTTGTGTTGTTTTGCACTGTCCTGATGGAAAATCAACATTTCCAAAATGGCTTACAGGAAGGGAAAAACTGTTAATTTGATGTCTTTGTTGATACATTCAGCACATGCTCACCATGACATCTTTACATATGTTTTCTTCCATCAAGGAGGTCAAGTACAAAACAGCATACATCTGTGAAAAAAACACTCCTGCAATTTCTCACCTGCCACCTCAGATTTTCTCTACCCCATACATGATGGTGAATTTACCTCTCAGCTATCAGTGTTACCACAGAATAACCACTGAGCAAGCAGATCATTTTTTAAAATGAAAATAGAAAAACAATACAGTCATTTTGCCATTCTGCTGAAGTGTGGGCTTTTTCACCCTGGCATTTTTTGTCCTGAAAACAATTACAGATGGATCAGATGATTGCGAAGGTCTTGGCCTGGCATGGTGACCTTCTGCTAACATACGGTAGTTTGTTTCAGAACCAGTTTTCTGGTTTCTGGGATCTAGTTAATGGAGGACTGGCATGGCAGCTTCTCTCACAGATAGACTGTTTTCATTAATCAAACAAGGCACAGTGTTATCTTTTACTTTTCTTGACTGAACTAAAATAGTGTCATTTTGAGTGGTATTTTTACAGATTCTTAGTCAATGGTTTTTACTGAGTTTTACCCAAATAATCAAATACAAAACCCAGAGCACCCAATTTTGTAAGAAATCACATGGTTTGAGTTCAGTATTTTGTTATTCCAAAGAACATTACTACTCAATCAACAAATCTTCAAGTGAAAATAACTATCTGCTGTATAGTATGTGCCTAAGTAGCTACTGAAATGTAGATTGTTTTCAGTTTATATCAATTTACGATGTGAAAAGGACAGTTGTGAAAAATATAGCTAATTTCTTCTTCTCTTAAAGCTTCCAAAGCACAAAGACTGACAATCCAATTCACATGGATCTGACAATCCATCAGAATGATCACAAAAGGGAAATCTGACTGACTAAAGCTGACCCACCCTGATGGTCCTGGCCCAATTACGGTACATACTGTCATCTAGGAGATTCTGGGTCTACAGATGTATCAGACAACACAATTTTGTGTAAGTGCAAAGATTATGTAAAAAATGATAATTTAAAATACACTGGTATATACTGTATAATGCATGAAAAGGTATTCATACAGGGAAGGATTCAACTTACAATGAACTTGAATGTATACTGTGATGTTCTTATCCTTGAAAGGGTCTGAATGGAGCCATTCAGGTTTGCAAAAGTACAGGCCACTTTCATCTCGTTTGACATTCCTTAAGATGAACAAGCCATCCTTGCTTTTGTAGATGGAAGTTTTATTCTGAAATTAGAGAACAGAAAAATGCAACCAAGTTGCACAGAATTATTGCAACAAATATGGGGAGTGTGTTGATTTGATTGGACATGAAAATCAGAAATGATTAAATTAGCTGCAGACGTATTAAGCCAAACTTTCTGCTATCTTACGTTTAGAGGCCAGAGGGAATACTGCTCTACTGGAATATTGCTTTCACAATGGACATTCACGTCATCGCCTTCTTTTATAGACCTTTTTGGCCAAGTCACATTAATGGATAATTTGAAAACAGGTTCTGAAACCAAGAAGAAGAAAGAATTAATCTAATGAATGCTTCACTTGAATGAAGCTAAAAAATGCAGTCTCAACAAATACACAATATGATAAAATACAATGTGTAACAATTATATAGCACAATAAAAGCTCCCATAAGCATACCAGGATAACAGTCGCTATGAAGTCATTATCATTTTCAAGTCATTAATGGTGTCTTCCCTTACAGTACTTACCTTCCTTCTCTCTACTTCAGCTTTTGCCTCAAACTGTATCTTGTTATAAAACATTATAAATAAATTGGGTGCCTATAGAGCATTATTAAGTTTACTAGAAAATTAGCCCTGAAAGAAAAAAGCACAATACAGTGTTTCAGAAGAGCAAAAGTGCATCTTTGCCACTCTTACAGGAAAGATCTAAGGTAATGGAGAGTTTTCAGATCTGGCAGAAAATAGGTCAAAATGATATTTCCATGATAAAAGGAATGGTATTTTCAGAGGATGTTTAAGAACCTCATAAGATGGTTTACAACAATTTATAAAGGAGACAACAAGAGAAGGCAAATATGATATGAGACTTACTTAATAGCAAATTAAGAATCCCCTTATAAGGTGAGGCTAAATCTTTTCTTGAGGTGTATATATATTTTGACATCTGTCCAGTTGGTTACTTCCATTTCATAATGTGATTGAGGATAGAGTTATGGTAAAATCTATAAATAGACTATGTGAACTGAAATGTTTGTGTTGAATAGACAACCCAAACACTTTTGATCCAAGTGTTAACAACAGAAAGAGCTCAGTACCTGTGATGATGAGGTTTATGATGATCTTTATTGATCCCAAGGGGAAAGTGGTGAGCTCACAAACAAACTGGCCCATATCTGAAGAATTGATGTTGTATAAATGTAGAAGTGAACCATACAATGTAGAAGGATTCCCCTTCCTCAAAGGCTCAAATGTAGCATTTTTGTTCATATAGATTGTCCCAAATGAGGGATTGTAAACTACAATTTTATTTTCTTTTCCTCTTTCAGCCTTTTTCCATTCGATCTGGGCAATATTTAAATTTTTTTCTTCCTCCATAACACATGGTATGCTGACGTTCTGGCCCACCGTGACACTGAAAACGAGATTGTTTTCCATATGGTATCCATCCAGACCTTAAGAATAAAGAAGAAACCAAGTGATGCACATTCACACTGAATAGACATTTAAACTTCCTGGTGTTTCAGAAATGATGATTGCAATATATCAAACTTTTCATTAAAGAAAACATTGGCAGAAGTTAATTTCAGGGGTTACCAGTTAACCAAGTAATAATTGTGTGACTGAAACATTGCTAGTAAATGTTCAAAGCATGCCTAATTATTTTATCCACTAGGACTGACATTTACTCTATAGAGCGATCTGAGATGAGTATGTTGTTCAACCTCAGCACAGCTACTGTGAATTTGAATCCATAACCTTCCAGCCTGTAGCCATTAGTCCACACTGTTCCTATCTCCAATGTTTTTGTTAGGATTTAAGTCTGCTTTATGGACCTCCCTAATATTCTTCTTTCAACTGCTCTGCATTATGTGGGCTTACAAGGTACAGTATACCTGTCAACAAAATTGTGTACATACTATAGCTGCATTTCCACTATCAGCAATCCCTATGACCAATAACCAAATATATCACTTTTTGGGACAAAACAATAAAATACATGTCTCTGTTCAAAATTAAATCCTGTTCTAAAAAAGACAACATGAAAAGCCTAGGTCACAATGTACAGAATGTTGTCAGTAAGAAGATGTGTATAAAATAAGTCATTAAGAAGGAGAGTGTATATTAGGAATGACACTGGCTCTCAAGCATTTTCAGCATGATGTGTCTTGGTCTGCAACACAGAACACAGTTACTGATGCATCTAAAAATATGAACTTTCCGGTGTTAAGTTAGCTGTAGCTGACCTTACTAGTTTTATTAATGCATGACAAGAGACTCGGGTGGAAGAAAAAAAAACAAACTGTAGGCTTTTTAAGGACATCTTAATTAAGAATCAAAGTAGTTCTGTCCAATAAGTTAAAAGTTTACATTCAAATGCCGGATAGTGTGCTGTTGATTGAGAGCATTGTTTAATTTGTGGACAGGAAAGCCTGATTTTGCATTTTAATGTTCTGCAAGTAAAGTATTTAATTGGCATAAGTCACATGTCATGTTTCTCTGCTTTTACAAAAGTGGAGATGGTTGCAGTTTAGGTTGATGAACCCATGTAGCAAAATTCATTGCTTTTGAAAAGAAAATAAGAATGAATAGAAAAGAAAAAGAAAACAAAATTAAACTAAATTTGTCATTTTTGTCTCCTTTTTTAAAATGTTGTATTATTGTGGTATACGACTATATGGAAGTTTGTATATACAGTAGTACACTGTGTTTTATCTCTTGAGAACATATGTTTGCTTACACAGAAACACCTCTGTTATTTAAACATGTCATCTAGTTTAAAAATAATGTTGCTCATTTCTCCCTTTGACAAAATTGTACAGTGGGATTCTGGACATCCCTTTGCTTCAGTCGTGTCTCCATTGGGGAAAAATGGTGACCACTTATGTTAACTCACAATTAATTAATTAGGAGAGGACAATATATTAGATTAATTTACATTCAATTGTAAAAAGAAGTTTTGAGGAATGGAATTCCAACACTGCCTTGAGAATAGAAGACGCAGAATCCTTTCAAGTTCCATATTCCAGTGGAGAACCAGTCCCACAGTTTCACATTTTAAATGTCTGCCAACAGGGCCCAGGAATCTGATTATACGTATTTGGCTTTGGCAAATGTAGTGCTGGGTCATCAGCAAAGATCTACAGAGTCTGCAGACCACTATCTTTCAGAAATGATTAATGATAATCCCTTCTGGGCTTATAAAACAGTGTAGCCCTGTATGATCTTAATTAAAATCTCCTTTCTATCTCTTCTAGAGAGCCTCATTCATTATGTGTGACTATAAAATAATTTATTCTTTCACAATGCATCTTTTCTTTTCAAAATTAAATGTTTTTTTTCACCAGATTCGTATTAGCAACCAGATTTTGCCTAAAATAAAGCATCTCACTTCTCAAACAATTCAATTGAAAAAACAACATGGATATGATTTGTTCTGTTTGTGTTAACAGTACCTGAGCTGATTGGAATGTGAATGTGAGTTTGGCTTAATGATGAATTATAAATGATGGATACATCAGATTCGTGTATAAAGAAAAAAAATGTTGATGGTTTTGTAAAACTTTTTTGTTTAAGTTACTATGAGGATTTCTTATTTTGACAAGTAACATATTCACATTGTGTATTGAGTATCACAGACTGGAAGAGAGACCTGTCATTTAGTTCTAATGACTTCTATGAGTATGGAAGTTACATTAGTAACATTAACACATCAAAGTGTAGTGATGCAAGAAGTCACAGTGTAGCTCAGTGCAGATGTGAAGTAGGTAGATGGCCATGGCTGCCCATCTGGAGAGCTAAGCAGACACATTTTGTCATACATTCACCTCAAGGGCCTTTTATAGCTTAGGCACAGCTCTTGTGCTTTTGAGTGTGTTTCAGACATTGAAAAAGTCTGTTTTATCTGCCTGCTTTATTGACGTAAAGGAACAATATCTAACAGAATTCTAAAAAAATTAAATATTAGATATTGTGGAAGTTACCAAAGAAAATCCTAAAGCACATGAATAAGTGAAGAAATGAAATTGTGGTTTATTTTTTGTTGAACAGGAAGGTGAGGATACCACACACAATTAGATCGAGGCAATAGGAACACTTAACTGGTGTGGTTAGAGGTAAACATATTGCATACATAGCAATGTGGCTGCATGTTGAACACACAACTGCATAAAAACACAAACCACCTTTGTGCATGAAGCTGATGTTGCTGTTTGCATTTTCATTGTAGGTCATTATCCAAAAAGAAAATAAAACAGATTTGTTTGCTTGATCTTCACAGTGTGATAGAAAGTAAGAGCCCAATGTGTTAGCTGTAATTTTCTAGCAAGAAGAGAAATACACTGTAGTCTGGAATTTACTATGGCTGTTAATATGCGAGGTACCTAGAACATTATATCTTTATATCATTATATTATATCTTCTCATCAGTTTGAGCACTTGAATGAAGTTTTTAAAGTAGAAAGCACATTTTGTGTGCAGAGAAATTTTAACCAAATGCTTAAAACTAACCGTGATGAAACACTAAAATCATAGCAATAACACCATTGAACACAACAGAGCCCTGTAAACTGCTTACAAACTGCTAGCTTAAAGTGAGAAAGCAGATGATTGAATACCTGTAGCAATATACAGTATGTGTAATTGCCACAGCATGGACCATAAAACCATTACAAGAATGTATCTTCAAACTTAAAAATACTTTTGCTTTATTTGGAAAAATAAAGAAGGAACAAGTTTCACTGGAATAGTAATCTGTGACAATCTGATAAAAGGATTTAGATTCACTCGTATTGAAGCATCTGTCTCTGATAGTCTCCAGCAATCAATGACCAAAATTTTTTTTACACTGACCACCTTTTGACTGCAGCATACTGCAAACAAAAGGAATATCCGCTCTTTGTTGATCTCTTAGTATTAGCAAAAAAGTACAAGAGAATGTTCAATACAGATGGCAAATATTCTACTTGAATATCAGATGAAAGGAGTCAATGATATTTGCAATAGGTTGTCATATATAATATATTATTTCACACTTTGTTCCTCTACAGCTTTCCAGTTCTATTATGAACCAATACTTATCTGTGGTTCATGGCAGCAGTGTTAAATACACTGTGATTTTAAATCATGTAAAAAATATAAAAAAGTAAAACATTCATTTCGATTAAATTTTATGTCACATATGTTATGCCTACCTTCAGTGATGACAGCAAAGAATAGAAAAGCTGTTAGAGCCATTTTTCATTTTTTATCCCGGGTGATAAATGCGTCTCGTGAAAATGGCAGTTGTCTCGTCTGTACAGGAAGTCAGTTTGCATTTAGTATGAAAACCACAGGTCCAAGCTGACACACTTGAGCAACAGCCTGCAAGCATGTTTCAAGATTTATTCCTGATTTTTTATCAGTCATATTTGATTTGAATTGCCAAAATTAATTTTGTATTGTTGAAATTTATGTGATGTGTTGAAGATCATTTAGAACTCTTTAAATGCACTGGAAACTCAGTTTGTTACTATAAAAAATGGAAATCAGATAAAGGAAGTGTTAACTGTTACTCTAGTCTAAAAATAAAAATATTTTTTTAATGTACACAAGGCTTAAAGGATTAATGTAGCATGTCTCTTGAATGACCCTCAGCCACAGCAGTTTGTTTTTTTCTTCTGTCTTGTTGTTAATACAGTTTTATACAAGGCCAGAATGGCTGGGCGAGATGAAAACTAGTGTGATGAGTGCATGTGTAGATACAGAATCTGTTTAATACAGTACATTTCTGCATTAAGTAATCTTATAACGTTTTCCTACATTGGATTATTATAATGCTCTTTATACTGGTCTTACAAGTCAAACCACGTCACAAATCAAGTTGATGCAGAATGCATGTCCTGTCTTAAAACAACAGAAAGACCCCATATCAATCGTATGGTGACATCTTTGCACTGGCTGCTAGTGAAAAATAGAACTTATTTTAACTTCTTATTGATCAAACTCAAAATGCTTAACAGAATGGTACCAGATTATATAATCAGAATGATTTTCTCAAAGTGCTTTGAGGTGATCAAATAGCATACTTCTTCAGATTCCAAGGATTAGACTAAAGTAGAAATAAATACTGTAATGCTACGGGGTTCAGGTGGGCGCTCTTACACACTAATTGGTGGCCATAAGCGTTACATTCTCCCCCGCTTAACTCACTGTCCTCGACGAAGGGCTATCCCATCCCACCCTGACACCAATGTAACGCTTCGGGGTTCAGGTGGGAGCCCTTGCCGCCTCTGCATCTGTTCGGCCCCCCACCATCAGGGACACAAACCCAGGTTTCCGGCATCACTCAACAGGGACCCAGCCTGTTGAGCTAAAAGGAGATCTCCCCCCAGCCCAGCGGCTGTGGGCCCTGCTATTACAGGGAATGGCGGTGACGTCACCGCTCTGGTAAGCCGGCTCTTACACACTCACCGGTGGCCGTAAGCGTTACAATACTTTCAAATGTGCAAACTCTGTAACTTTGGATATGTTCTACTTTAATTGTCATACAGTGCAAGCTTATTTTTAAAATAATGTAGCTGTGTTTTACATTATTATTAAACCTTCCCTTTCAGTGTCTTTGTCCCAAAAGCGCTAGAAGCCAGAAATAGGTTGGCTATGAAATCTGAAAGGAATCTAGATAAAAGAAGTATTCTGCAAAGCTCTTGATGTCTTTTGTATTATTATTATTATTATTCCTTTCAATATTGCTGTAAGTCCCATACATTAATATAGTTTTCATCACTGTTCTTATTTTTGTGAATTATTAGTTTATGCAACTAACTGTTTTTTTGTGATCTATTCTTAATTAATACATTGAAATTCCTTTGGATTTCTATCAATACCTCAATAAGTAAAGACTAATCATCTCAATAGGCACCCAACCTGTAGCACTGACAGCAGGCAGACTTTCAAAAGGATTCTGTGCAATACGTTAATTAGCTCAAAAGTGGGCAGTTTTCTGTGCAACCAAATACAAAGGCGACCTATGAATATTATCATGACAAAACCACTGTAAGAACAACAATTAGCAATTATATGTGTACTACCCCAACGTTTAATACGGATTGAAAAAAGAACCACTGCTGTTGTATGTTTTTATCAGCCAACTGGATGTTGCAATACATGAATTGACTTTTATATGCTCATTTCAGGCAAGATTTGGTGATGTTGATGGGAGGAGCTACATTCAAGTGAGTCTCCAGTATGTGACATGCCAAGTCTACACTAACCAGCTCAGACTCAAACTGGTGACATATGAATGCTATTTGGTAATTGTCTCCAAGCACTACATTGCTTTATAGGGCTTATTTTCCAGCCTGGGGCACCTGCTGTGAGGAGTTTGCATTGGTGTTCAGGTATTCTACTTTCCAGGCACAGTCCATGCTGTCTAGAGGAATTGGTGTCTAAATTGTTCCCTCAACATGTGCATGTTAATACCTTATCTTATGCCCATCGTCTGCCATGTTAGGTGTGACTGTGTGCGTGTCTGTGTTTTTGTCTGTGTGTCTGCCCTGTGATGGACTGGTGTCCTGTCCAGGGTGTATCCTGCCTTGCCGGGATAGTCTCCTTCTCCTCTACGATCCTGAACTGGAAGAAGCACGAAGAAAATGGATGGAGGCGTTTTTCTATATTGTCAAATGTTTTTAAATGGTGGCTTTTAAAGGTCCTCATACACAATTCAATTGACAAATTATTTTAAAAATCACAAGGCGCAGATGATTAATGCAAGTGTCAAGCGAGGGGAAATACTTGATTTAATACAAGGGTACATGAAAATGAAAAAATAAAATTAAAATAATCACAACTTAAGTATGGCTGATTAAGGGCATTGTACAGTATATACTGTATGTAGCAATGACTCTATGCATTGTATCTTTAGAATGTTAAACACTCTTGGTGAAGTTAAGGAAATGTTTTTTTTATTTTTAAAATCATTTTTCACTTTTATTTCAATAGCTATAAGAATATAGATGAGGAGTACAAATATTAGTAACTGTAATTTAAAAACCTTTTCAATATACAAAAAAAAGAGAAGATAGAAAGCTCAATATTACATCACGGTGGAGCACTGAATTGTTAAGTGGTGGAGTACTGAATTGAGACTGTAAAATGACTCAAAAGGAAGAATACTGTAAGAAAGAGGGTCAAAGTAGAACCAGATTAAATTTAGATTATATTCAGCAAGCTAGAAACACATTCAACAATTAATTTCAGTTTTAAGAGAACATGACTCTCTATGGAATGCAAAAGTTTTATAAAAAACCCTTTAGGAATCATTTTTATCCTTTATATATAAGTATCCTGTAGTAACCAGTGGGCTCTCCTAACAGTTGGAAGGGGTCTTTATTTAAAGGGACATGAAATGATGGTTGTTTACTAACGCAGCTGTTAAACTTCAAATTCCTGACTACTTGATCATTAAAGATCTCAAGGCACTTTCCAAAGGAGTAGAAATGTTAACCCCAGAGACCAGGCTGGTGAAATACAGTCTGGCCTCCTTCAAGGCCCCCATTAATTCAACTGATGAAGTTACATCTTATTTGTGGATCAGATCATCCTGATCTGCTGTATGTGTAGTGAAACTACTGAAATACAATGGTGGGTGTATGTTAGTGGTACATGAAGCAGGCTCCTTCATGTATGTAAAGTTTTTTGGGATCATTGTGGCTGGAAAGCTCTACAGTATATAAATAACCTGACAATTAACAAATCATGACTGTCCGACACTATTGCATACTGGTTCTTTGTAGACCACATATTTGGTGCAATCAGCCACTTACTTATAATTTAGACAGTTATATGATTTAGACATCTACTGAATAATTTAAGAAAAGGCTGTCAAAGTCCTACAATAGTTTATATAGGAAAAGTTGGTTTTTGACTATATGATTAATTAAAACTAATGATAATGAATGATGCAGAAACTTTAAAAGGCAGTAAGAAGCCGGTTTACATTATCATTATAAAAAATAATCATGTTAAAATCTAGGAGTGATAGTTTCATGTTTTATTTGATCTAATTTGAACAGATACAGTAGGTTATTAACAAGGTAGATTGCACCTGACCCTAAATTGCAAGAAGTGGTTAGATAATGGATTGATTCCAATGCAGTTCACTGACCTGCCCTTCTAATGAAGCTCTCACTTTAGAACATTTTCTATCTTTGAGGATAGAAAGTTAAAGAATAAAAACCAGTAGACAAGGAAACCTCCAAACACACTGTGGTCTCTGAATGGCAGAAAATGGTAAATCAGTACCATGTAATAACGGGAGTTCCTATTCCACAGCAATTTTCTTTTCACTTAGTCGCAAGCTAAAGTTAATCTCAATTAATAACAGTCATGTACCAGTGCCAAAGAGCTAAGAGCCACAGACCTAAGAGACTTGAGGGAATTGTTATTGATTTGAAGGAATTAAAAATATCTGTTTTGTCAACTAGGCAGCTTGCTTGCTTTTAAATAAAGAAATAACATGGTCAGTAATTTTGCAATCTGGATTAGTAATGAGTCAACTGATGTTGTAAGGTAAAAGAGAACTGACAAAAGGATGAGCCAGGATTGGAAATACCAAGGATAGACTGAATGACCATGACAAAGGTCTCCCAAGATGTCTGCTAGGATGTCTGTGTCTGCATCTGGGGGTCCAGACACATTGAGGAAATCAAAAACAAAACACAAGGGAGCTTGAGAAATTTGGAGTAGAAGTGCTTAATATAAGCAATCCATTCAATTTCTGCCAATCATAAGATCCTACTGGATCATATATAAAATTCAATAGAGATCACTGATACTTGTATTCTTGTGTTTATTGATATGGTTCCTATTTGGCTACTAGGAGTCGATTTGTATGTCTTGGCTGTTCTAAATCTAACATCTTTCCACTTGTTCTTGGTGTTGCACAATCATCGTGGATTTGGCTTTCACTGGTGTGGTCTTGACATTCAGATTTATTAACTGACCAAATCAGATACTGCTGCTGGAGTTTACTGCACTTCACAGGTGTTTGTCTGATATTAAGATATGGAATAAAATGACCCTTCATCATCTAAACCGTGACATGACTGTAACTTTATGCCAGTTGACTACGCTCAAAGGTTTATAAAGTTGATGACTTCAATGTTTTTGTATATACTTTTGAAATGTAGTGAACTATGATGGAATCTAGAAGCCTTGGAATTACTTTTGACATGTTTTGTCATAACCTGCATAATATTATTGTCATGACCACCAGCCAGCGGAGATCATCTTACAGTACCAGCAGT